TGCCAAAAATAAACAAAAAAAAAAAATTAAAAAAAAAAAAGATTCTCATTCCCTTTCCCTCTTCCCCTCCCTCTCTCAAGTGCTCTCTCTCTCTCTCAAAAAAAAAAAAGTTGCCTCTTAAGCCAATGACAAGTAGAAACTTTTTTTTTTAAATTTTTTTTTTTTCAACGTTTATTTATTTTTGGGACAGAGAGAGACAGAGCATGAACGGGGGAGGGGCAGAGAGAGAGGGAGACACAGAATCGGAAGCAGGCTCCAGGCTCTGAGCCATCAGCTCAGAGCCCGACGCGGGGCTCGAACTCACGGACCGCGAGATCGTGACCTGGCTGAAGTCGGACGCTTAACCGACTGCGCCACCCAGGCGCCCAAGTAGAAACTTTTTATGACAGTGATTTCTCTTATCATATCAGGAAACACAACTATACAAAGAAATTAATAAGCAAAAATTTTCAGAACGTCCAACCTTACTAGTAATGTCCAGTGTTGGGGAAAAAGGCATTCTTCTCTGTGACATGGTTGCTAGAGTATAAACTGGAAGAAGCTTTTCAAAGGGTTAGGTACATCATCAAAGCTTTGATGTATTTATTCCTACTGAACTAACCACTTTTTTTTTTAATGTTTATTTATTTTTGAGAGAGAGAGAATGTGCGTGTGCCCACTAGTGAGGGAGGGGCAGAGAGAGAGGGAGAGAATCTGAAGCAGGCTCCACGCTGACAGCAGAGAGCCCGATGCGGGGCTCTAACTCAGAAGTCCTGAGATCATGACCTGAGCCAAGACCAGATGCTTAAACAAGTGAGGACCCAGGTGCCCCAACTCCACTTCTAAGAAATTATCCCCAAGAAATCATTACAAATGTACACAAAGATTTAGGCAAAATGGTATTTACTCACAGCATTATTAATAACAACAAAGGGAAAAAGCCCTACATTTTAGATAATCAAGATCAGTTAAATACAATGTATTACACATACAAAAAAAAAAAAAATCTAGCCACAAAACCAGTACTGGAGAATATTTAACAAATAGAAAAATTGGGGGAAAAAGCAGTTAACAAAATTGTATGACCCTAATTTTTTTTTTTTTTTTAATTTACATCCAAATTAGTTAGCGTATAGTGCAACAATGATTTCAGGAGTAGATTCCTTAGTGACCCTTACCCGTTTAGCCCATCCCCCTCCCATAACCCCTCCAGTAACCCTCAGTTTGTTCTCCACATTTATGAGTCTCTTCTGTTTTGTCCCTCTCCCTGTTTTTATATTATTTTTGTTTCCCTTCCCTTATGTTCATCTGTTTTGTCTCTTAAAGTCCTCATGAGTGAAATCATATGGTATTTGTCTTTCTCTAATTTCACCTAGCATAATACCCTCCAGTTCCATCCACGTAGTTGCAAATGGCAAGATTTCATTCTTCTTGATTGCTGAGTAAAACTCCATTGTATGTATATATCACATCTTCTTTATCTATTCATGTATGACCCTAATTTAAAATGGCTCAGTTGGTTGAGCGTGTGACTTCAGCTCAGGTCATGATATTGCAGTTTATGAGTTCAAGCCCCACACTGGGCCCTCTGCTGTCAGCACAGAGCTGATTCAGATCCTCTGTCCCCCTTCCTCTGCCCCTCCCCCACTTGCGCACACAAGCGCTCTCAAAAATAAACATTAAAAAAAATGTATATGTGTAATATATGTCCTCAGCTCCTAAATATAGTTTTTAAATTTTAATGTTATATTATGGTATAACTTACAATTGATATACATATATGTAGTTAGTACCATAAACAAAAATAATAATTGTGACTTAAAATTGATAGTTGTTATCTCTGGAAGCAGAATTATGGATAATATTCTTGTGTATTTCTGTCTCTACTTTCCAGCCTTTCTACAATGAACATAATATACACTGCATTTTGTAGTCACAAAGCAATGTTGCCCTTTTTTTTTTAAAGTTTTTATTTATTTTTGAGAGAGAGTATGAACGGATGGATGGGCAGGGATAGAGGGAAACACAGAATCTGAAGCAGGCTCTAGGCTCTGAGCTGCCAGCACAGAGTCTGATGTGGGGCTTGAACCCACAAACCATGAGATCAAGACCTGAGTTGAAGTCAGACGCTTAACCGACTGAACCACCCAGGCGCCGCCCCACCCCCGCCCCAGCAATGTTGTTCTTTTCAAAAAGCACATCACACTGGTAAAATGTTGTAGAAAATAACATTTTTATAGCTTTTAAAGAAAGCTCAAAGAGAACAAGCACAGGTTCAAATAACATTACCAAGATCTAGAAAGTAACTATTTGGGCTTTGCGGTCTAACGCTCTGTCCTCAAAACACTGTTCTGTATTGACACTGGGCAAGATACTTAATCTGTGTCTTAGCAGCCTCATCCATAAAATGGGACACTGACAGCTAGCTTTCAAGGTTGATGTGAGGGTTATACAAATTACACATGAAACACTCAGATACTCAATAGACACCTTTGGGATATATAATTCTATTCTTAGTCTCCAGAGAATAAAGGCTGATCAAAAGACACCCAAAGTAAAAAAATAAATAAAAGACATGCAAAGTAAGTAGAAAGTACTAATGTGCAATCCAAAGCACTTAAATATTTCAAGGAAAAATTTATTCTCTACAAAGAGGTGGTTGAGGGGCGCCTGGGTGACTCAGTTGGTTAAGCATTTGACCTTGGCTCAAGTCATAATCTCACAGATCGTGGGTTTGAGCCCTGTGTCAGGCTCTGTGCTGACTGCTCAGAGCGTGGAGCCTGCTTCAGATTCTGTCTCCGTTTCTCTCTGCCCCATCCCTGCTCATGCTCTGTCTGTCTCTCTCTCAAACATACAACAATACAAACATTAAAAAAAAATTTTTAATAAAAAAAATAAGAAAGGCGCTTGACTAAGATATTCCTTTTTATTTTGAAACCTAATTACTTAACCCTAAACAAGTTATGGTAAATATATTTTTGGCAAATTTTATGGAACCTTAATAGTTTCATTTTTTGCAGGTAAAAGAGTTGAAAATAGGTGATTTTCAATTAGCACTGTTACACATTCTTTATGCTTTGTACAACTTTGGAATTAATATCTGACAAGGGGCTTGTATCTAGAACATAAAAAACACCTCAATGATAAAAAGACAAGTAACCCAGGGATACGTGGGTGGCTCAGTCAGTTTAGCGTCCTTCTCTTGATTTTGGCTCAGGTGATGATCTCATGGTTCATGAGTTCGAGCCCCATGTTGGGCTCTGTGTTGACAGTGTGGGACCTGCTTGGGATTCTCTCTCTCCCTCTTTCTCTATCCCTTCCCTGCTCGTTCTCTCTCTCTCTCTCTCTCTCTCTCTCTCTCTCTCTCTCATAATAAGCAAACTGAAAAAAAAAAGACAAATAATTGAATTTAAAAATGGTAAAGGATCGGAAAAGGTATTTTCTCCTATGAAAATGTATGAATGGCCAATGAGCACAAGAAAAGATGCCCAACATCAGTAGACATCAGGAAAATGCAAATCAAAACCACAATGAGGAACCATTTCACACCCATTAGGATAACTATAATAAAAAGGACAGACAAGTGTTGGTGAAGATGTGAGGAACTGAAACCCTCATACGCTGCTGGTGGGAATGTAAAACAGCACAGCTACTTTCTAACAGTCTGGCTGTTCCTCAAAAGAATAAACATGGAGTTATCACATGGCTCAGTCATTCTAGCCTAGAGAAATTAAAACCTATGTCCACACAAACACCTGCATACAACTCTTTATAGGAGCATTATTCATAATAGCCCAAAAGTGAAAACTCAAATGTCAACCAACTGATAAATGGGTAAACAAAATGTTGTAGATCAATATAACAGGATATTGTCTGGCAATAAAATGAAACGAAGCAATGATAAATGTCACAACACGCATGGATGAACCCTGAAAACATATTAAGTGAAAGAAAGAGCCAGTCATAAATGACGTAGCCACCTAAGTAGCTACGTAGGTGGCTCAGTTGGTTAAGCATCCAACTTTGGCTCAGGTCATGATCTCGCAGTTTATGGGTTTGAGTCCCACATCAGGCTCTGTGCTGACAGCTCAGAGCCTGGAGACTGCTTCGGATTCTGTGTCTCCCTCTCTCTCTATCCCTCCCACACTCACACTCTCTCTCAAAAATAAATAAACATTAAAAAAAAATTTAAGAAAGTAGATTGGTAGTTGCCTTGGGCTGGGGAATGCGTTATTGGGAAAACAGGGTGACTGCTAAAGGTTATGTGGCTTGCTTTTGGGTGATGAGATATTCTAAACTTGATTCTTTTTGCACAACTCAAATCTCTGAATTGTAGACTTTAAAGGGGTGAACTGTACAGCAAGTAAATTCTAATATATATTATAAACATTTAGTTTTGTCCTCACCTCAAGATAACAAAGGAAGTTGTTAAACAGCCCAATAAAAAAAGAAAATTTCTACTTGGCAGATTCACTGAAGGTAAATCAAATGTTGGTCTCTATTTTCACATACCTCCTATCTGAAGCTCGGGACAGCCCATTCGTCTCATCTGTGTGCTGACAGACTCAATCTCTTGTACCAGTGGCACTAATATTGTCTCATTGATCCACTAGGGAAGAAACAAGGCAAAGATTTCACACACATAATTCTAAAGTATGTCTCAAATAATGATATTCATGAAACACTAAGAATATTTTTACTGTCTTGTAGTTGAATATTAACAGAATATAGTGAAAGACAATGAAGTAGCAGCTACCTGAAGTCTAGACAGTTAAGTAAGCAAGCCAGCAGAGTGTAAAAAGTTATACTCTTAAATCACATATGCCTGCTTTTTGCTGACGAAAATATAAAAATTTTAGTTAATGGGGCGCCTGGGTGGCGCAGTCGGTTAAGCGTCCGACTTCAGCCAGGTCATGATCTCGCGCTCCGTGAGTTCGAGTCCCGCGTCAGGCTCTGGGCTGATGGCTCGGAGCCTGGAGCCTGTTTCTGATTCTGTCTCCCTCTCTCTCTGCCCCTCCCCCATTCATGCTCTGTCTCTCTCTGTCCCAAAAATAAATAAACGTTGAAAAAAAAAAATTTAAAAATTTTAGTTAAGTTTTTCTCAAAATTTCCTGTGGTTATTATACTTAGCTAAAAGGATAATCTCCGATTTACATTTCTACAGCAATTATCATACATTTATCCATGTCGTGTTTATATTGGTTTGTAATTAATAAGATAGTTTTTCAAACTAACATAATTAACTCAGCAGGCTTACTCAATTTGCTGACTACGTGGAAAACAGATCTATTTGATACTGGTTTATGCATATTAAAATATTTCTTTAGGATTAGAACTTCAAATGCCACTTTGGATGGCTAACATCAATCTAATTCTGGATGTGAAAAGACTGTCCAAGGAAACACCCCATTTGAGTTGTTCGTGTGTTATGTGTTTCGCTTAGGTGTTCGTGGCAACTTTAACTGCTACGTTAGTTCTATTTCCATGCTTCTGTTTAACTATAAAATGGAAGGGTGAAGAAGTTTCCGATGAAATACAAGTCTACAATTCCTTATACAAATTTGTGAATTAAGAAATCTATAAAAACAAAACTTTTCAGTAATCCATTTAGCAAGCAAATCAGATATACCACAAGGCCTGAACTAAATTCCAATGAGGCTATTTACACACTTAGTGTGACTATTCACATGTTTTGCTACAAATATTAATGTCTTTGATCACTGCGTGCTAACCAGACTCTGCTGTAAGTAGTATTACACAATATTATATGCTATATGCACACTGCTTTTTAAAAAATATCCAAAAAACTTGAAACTTTCAAGATTGTAATTAGAAATAAAAGAGAGTACAGTACTAGGACATCATTTTACTCATTCATTCTTCCAACATGTACTCAATGCATTCTACTCATGAGCCACCCTTGGGCTGCAACAAAATTACCCAAGGGGTTCAGGGCTATATTCCCTATGTTGTACCTTTCATCTTCGTGAGGGAATTTTTATGTTTAGAAAGCCATCCAGTGCTTCTGGTTCAAGAAAACAGGCTGCTATTTTCATTACTCCCTCCTGATACCTAATTAAAATTATAGTAAAAGAATAAAAAAGTAGACAAGTGATTTCAGCGTATTTCTCGAAGATGTAGAGTGAGTGGATGAGTGTCGAAGGGTGAAACAGTGGAAGAAGTGGCAGCCTCCGTGGAATCCAAGCGCAACTACCTGCAGTGGAGGGGGGCCAGCGTGTCCAACAGAACTTGGGACATACAGAGACTACAGAGGGGTAGAAAGAGGCAGGGCTGAAACAAGGGAACTCACTTATTCTGTATGAATTGGCCAAAGAGAAGAGGGTTCTTCTCTAAAACAACTGAAGAAATTGAAATATTCTGAAGGAGCTTATAATATATATTACCTTCTCTCTCTAACTTAAAAAGTTCCCTGAGGGCAAGGACCTCATTTTTGTTTCCCTCATATTTCTAGACATATAAAAGGTTCTGCCAGAAAAGCTCTTTGAAAAATAAAATTGAAAAAAAATTTCTGAAAAAAAATAAATAAAATTGAGCTGTTGGGAAGATCTTAATAACTAGATATGTTATTTCTTTATCACTCAAAAGAAACTGATTTACTAAATATGGAGAGAAAAACAATCTGATGAAAACAGACACCATAAGGTAAATGTCATGTTTATCCTTACATATGTGCCATCCATATTGCATTTTTCATAATAATTAATTCTGATACTCTAATTAGTAATTAACACCTCTAAATAATATTCTAATAACACACTTCGCATAGTAAGAGGCAACAATATCGTCTGAAGAGTAATGTCAGAACTTACATTTCTGAACTTAGCTGTCCACGAATCCATATGATCAAGAAGTTGTCTATTCATAGTCACTCTTGCCCAAACCTATTAAAAATATGTTTCAAATGAACAATCAGTGAGGAAAAATCTTGTCAGAAATTGGTCACTTTCCTCAACTCTCAAAAATATGTGGAAAAAAAATCTGAAAAACAACTTCATCAACACTGATATTCATCTAATTAATATGCAAGAATTTTCTTACTACCCACTTGGTTGCTATTCATGCACAGATAGATCTTTAAAATTCCTTATGTTGGTATGTTTAAAGAACATTCCTGCTTTATGAACAAAACAAAAATCTTATTTTTGGTATTAAACTGATAAAGTTCAAATGTTCTAATCCAAATGTATTTTAAAAGCAGGAGTCTTGTATATATTAAGTACAAATAGATACTTGAGATACCTTTTTATAAATGAATGCAGAAAAATGTTTTAGGCAGGACACTAATGTCAACTGTATGCAACGAAGAATAAAACATACAATACAATTCAGTTTTAGATACACGAAGTTACACAGGAGTCTTTCCAGTGTTTAATGTGTGCCAGATTTATGTTTCTGGCCAGTAAAAGTGAAGATTACAGACAAAAAATGTTCCAGAAGTAGAAGAGACTTTCTAACAATCTGCAATCAGAAATATTAAGTCATTTTTATTTTCCATTTACCTCCTCTGCAGCTTGTTTAGAACTGAGATCAGCCTCATCTTTGTTAGCACATGGGGCCTGAGACCTACAGGCAAGCTGATACTGAAACTTCTTCAAAGTCTGTGCATAATCTCCCATAGAACGATTGTAGTTCCAGAAGGTAGGACTGGTGGAAGGCGAGGTAGAATCTGGACTCCCTACAATAATGAATTTAAAGAGCATCAGTGTGTGCTGTAGTAACTGTGTCACTTAGAGTTAGCACACGAACACTGGGTATCTGGGCACCTAGGCGATGGCAATCAAGGAAGACAAAGCCCCAAGGGACTCTTCTCTTCCCTCCTCCCTGACATTACCTCTTCTTTAGAGAACACAGACTGCCTGTGCTAAAGATTAAAAAGAACATTTTCTGAGCAATATCAATCAAGTGGTTGAAAGTATCTGTTTATTTCTGTTGTAAAATTAGGCTTGTTTCATTCTCTAAGACTTTCAAATGACTCAGCAAGAAACAAACAAAAGACAAATTTCCTCAGGAAATAAATAGGCTAAGGAAGTTCCTTGCCTGAATTTTTAGTAGCTCTTTCTGAATGGTACGACTACAGCTTCCTATTAATAAACTACTCTGTGGGCCAGCAGCTCCACTCACTCTTCCCTGTACTACACTGCATTCTCTTTATAGCCTGTAATAATTCCTGCGTTGCATTCAAAGAGACTGCCGATTACACTTTTAAATTTATAAATTTACTTCTAGGAAATGTTAATAGTTAATATGGGGACTTAATCCTCTAGAGGATTCTACCAGAGCAGTTATTACACTTTAAGGCTATAGTTTGTCTTTTTACCCAAACAGAATTTGAGTTCCTTGAGGGCAGGAAATATTATTTTTCCCCAGCATCCCTGTGAGCTGATGCTGTGGCTGCTCAGGAGAATTCTGTAGGCTTTGGGAAACCTATCAGCTTGGATTTCACTGCCCAAGTGGGAAATGGTAATGAGGCAAAGGTGAGGTAGGATTGGACTCAGACCCTTTTCTCCTACCTCTATCCCCTGTAGCCAGCATAGGGCCAAGAACCTCAAATGGCCACATTCTTGTAGATAAGAAAAAAATCTGTCCACTGGCACCAGGACATAATAAGTAAACTCATCTAAGTTGTATGGGGATTTAAAAATTATCCATTTACATATGGGTTTAGAACACCCATTTATACTACCTGTGAAATCCAGGAACCTCCTAGCCCAGAAATTACCTAAGTTAGTTCAAGGTCATAATACTCCTTAGGTACTTGGCAGAGGCAAATACAAAACTGCTAGGAGGAGACAAGGCTTGTATCCAGCCTGCCCAGGACAGAAGAGCACAGATAGAACTGTACTGCAGATAAACTTACCAAAAACAAACAAGAAATACATAAATCACAAGAGGAAACAGGGTTCCAAGCAAAGGAATCAACAAGACAAAAATGTGAGTATTTAATCTTCGAGAACTTTAGATAACTGAACTACAGGACAGAGACTTTTAGAAAGTCATGTTTAAAGTGACTGAGATAGGAAAAAATTGAAAACATAAGAACAAGATACACTAAAATAAATCATGCATATTTGAAAAAGAACCAAGTAAAACCTTGAAAACTGG